GAGACAACAGCCTCAACCACCACTCCCCTTGCACAGACAGCCTCCCCTACGCCTGGCACAAGTTTAACTGCTGCCACGACATCCCCTCCTCATCTGAGCTCTACTCTGGGGAGCACATCCCCACCTCTGACCACACCTGCACGTGTCTCTACTCTCCTGAAAACATCCACTGCTATTGGGACAGCCACGTCAACCACTGAGGCCTCTGTTACAGCCACTGCTGAAAGGGTAGAACCCTCCAGTACTGCTGTCCAGTCCACATCCCTTCCTGAGACAATGGCTTCCCTCTCATCCACACTTGCAACGACATCTGCTCTTGTGAAAACCACCACATTTCGTACTGCTACAGTACAAACTTCCAGCTCAATTTCAGCAACAACTAGTTCATTCCTTTCCAGCCCACCTGGAACATCCACGGCTGCTCCTTTAAAGACCACAGCAGGAGAGACAACAGCCTCAACCTCTACACTCAGTACACATACGACATCTGCTCCTGGGAGAAGCCCAACTTCTGCCTCCACCTCCACTCCAAGTGTGAGTTCTACTCTGGAGAACACATCCCCAGCCCTGACCACACCTACACTCACGTCTACTCTGGTGAAAGTCTCCACTACCGGTGGTACAGCCATGACAACAACTCAGGACTTATCCATGGCCACCTCTGAAACCTTTCAAACTTCTAGAACGTCTTCCCAGTCCACATCTCCTCCTGAGATTACACTGTCATGGTCACCCAGTACAGCAGCAACGTCTGTTCTTACCACAACCTCCATACAGCTCTCCACTACAGCAAAACCCTCCAGCCCAGTTCCTGCAACAACCACTGCAGTCCCTTCCAGCCCAACAGGAACATCCACTGCAGCCCAGTTCCTGCAACAACCACTGCAATCCCTTCCAGCCCAACAGCAACATCCACTGTTTCTCATGAGATGATCACAACTGCAGAGACAGTCTCATGAGATGATCACAACTGCAGAGACATCAGTATCGACCACCTCCCTCACTGCACAGACATCCTCCTCAACTCCCTGGAGAAGATCTACTGCTGCCACCACCTCCATACCTCATGTCAGCTCTACTATGGAGAACACATCCCCACCTCTGACCACACCTACATCCAAATCTGCTCTGGTGACAACCACTATTGTTACTGGGACAGCCACATCACCATCTGAGGCCTCAACTGTGGCCACCTCTGAAATGGTCCCATCGTCCAGTGTGGCTGTCCAGTCCACAACTCTTCCTGAGACGTCGGCTTCCTCCTCATCCACTCCATCTCAGACATCTGCTCTTATCACAACCTCCACACTGCTCTCTACTACAGAACAACCCGTCAGCCCAGTCCAAGCAACAACCACAGCAAGAGCTACCACAGTCTCTTCCAGCCCTGCTGGAACATCCACTGCTTCTCATTTGATGACCACACCTGCAGAGACAACAGGCTCAACCACCACACTCCTTGCACAGACATCCTCCTCAACTCCTGGGACAAGCCCAACTGCTGCCACCACCTCCACTCCTCATGTGAGCTCTACTTTGGGGAACACTTTCCCAGCTAGGACCACCGCCACACCAACCTCTACTCTGGTGAAAACCTCCACTGCTGTTAGTGGAACTACATCAACCACTGAGGCCTCATCAGTAGCCTCCTCTCATACCATGAAAACTTCTAGCACAGCTTCCCAGTACACATCCCATCCTGAGACTACGGCGTCACCATCATCCACTCTATCAGAGCCATCTGACCTTATCACAACCTCCATACAGTTATCTACTACATCCCAATCATCCAGTTCAATTCCTGCAACAACCTCTGCAGCCCCATCCAGCTCAGCTGGAACATCCACTGCTGCTCCTGGAATGACCACAACAGCCTTGACCACGGCCCTAGTTGCAGAGACGTCCTCCTCTACTCCCGGGACAAGTCCAACTTCTGGCACCACGTCCACTCCTCATGTGAGCTCTACTATGGAAAACACCTCCCCACTGCTGAGCACACCTACATCCAAATCTGCTCTGGTGACAACCTCTACTGTTACTGCTACAGCCACGTCACCAACTGAGGCCTCAACTGTGGCCACGTCAGAAACGGTCCAACCCACCAGCACAACTGCCCAGGCCACGTCTCAAGCAGTGACCATGGCTTCAGCCTCATCCACTCCAACAGGAAAAGTTACTCCTAGCAACACCTCCATCCTCCTCTCCACAACAGCACACACAACCAGCCCAGCTCCTGCAACAACCACTGCAAAAACCAGTGCAGTACCTTCTAGCACAGCTGAAACATCCACTGCTACTCGTGCAGTGACCACAACTCCCGCATTAAGATCGGCTGCTGTCACCACCTCCACTCCTCATCTGAGCTCTACTCTGGAGAACACTTCCCCACCTCTGGCCACACCTACACCCACCTCTACTTTGCTGAAAACCTCCAGTGCTATTGGTACAGCTACATCAACCCCTGAGGCCTCATCTGCAGCCACCTCTCAAACCATGCAACTTTCTACCACAGCTGCCCAGTCCACATCTCTTCCTACGACTATAGCATCACCATCATCCACTCCATCAGAGATGTCTGCTCTTACCACATCCTCTACACAGCTCTTCTCTACAGCACAACCTGCCCACTCAATTCCTGCAACAACCACTGCAGTCTCTTCCAGCCCAGCTGGAACATCCTCTGCTGCTCCTCTGAGGACCACAAGTGCAGAGACAAGAGCCTGGACCACAGCACTTGTGGCAGAGACATCCTTATCTACTACCAGGACAAGTCCAACTGCTGCCACCACCTCCACTCCACATCTGAGCTCTACTCTGGGCAACACGTCCCCAGCTCTGTCCACACCAACACCTGCCTCTACTCTGGTGAAAACCTTCACTGCTTCTGGTACAGCCACATCAACCACTGAGGCCTCAACTTCTATTACTATGGGTCCCAAAACATGTAAGTTACTGAAGAGTGAGTGTGAATATTCTTCTATTATGACTTATGAAATATTAGCAGTTAAACTTGACTTTGGGTTTTTCTTAAGCATTACATGGTTATCACATTATACTTTTTTCCAAAGACTCTTGTTTTTTACGATGAAATATTTACTTCTATACTAACAGTATTATGCAGAACATGATGGTCATTTTCCTTTCTTGTTCACATGATTTTAGTGTTATGTAGAGATGTGTACATTATGGATAATAATAATTATGGATTAGAAAGCAATGAAAGGCCAAGGACATGGTGTGTTCTCCTTACAAAATTCATCAGCATTAAGTAATACAGTATTGTATTCGTGCAATATTCAAATTTGAGAAAAGCTAATATTTTAGCAATCATTTGAAATGCTAGCATTTTAAAAAAAACAAGGAAAGTTTTCTGATTGAAACTACAGAGATATAAGCCATAAGATGGAACAGAGAAGATGGCAAAAAAGAGGCCTGGTTTGGTAATACCAGTGTGGGCAGGTGCCATCTAGAAGTGCAATGGTTTGCCAACCCAGAGCTCGGACACCGTGACTCTTCCCTTTGTCACTTCCCATCTGTGCTTTTTCCAGCTACCACTCATCCACCAGCCACAGCTGCAGCCCTTGAGCAATTCACTGTCAACTTCACCATCACCAACCTGCCATACACTTCTGATCTGGAGAATCCCAAATCTGTGAAGTTCAATGCTACACAAAGGGTTATGAACACCTTGGTATGTGGATTGTGGCAAGACCACAGACTTACCACTGCTCTCATAAAAGTGAAGAGAGTGTGGAGAGCTGGCCAGAGCTTAACTGTGAAATTTTCCCCTTGACAGCTCAACAGCCTGCTGAAGGAAAGCAGCATTGGTCCTGATTTCCGTGGATGTGAGACAACTGCCTTGAGGTATGGGTCTCTCTCAAAAGTCTGTGCAGGTCCCTTGGTCTGAGCAGGGGATGAGTCACAGTCATATTTGGTTGGCACTTGTCCTATGGAGGCAGCACCCCCCCCGAGGCCTTCTGTGCTAGAGCCTTCCCTCTCATCCTCACAGCTTTTGTCTATATGCTGATGCTGTAACCCCAAGATGATTCTCAAGTCCTGCCTGGAAGGGCCATGGAACTTCCAAGATGCTGCCTGGCATGGAGAACACATAGAAGAGGTGGGCTCAGATATGGCACTGTGTTTTCCAGGCCAGCGAGTCAGGGGCATGAGACACGGGTGGACGCTGTGTGCACCTACAGGAGGGACCCCTCAGCTCCACCTTTGGACAGGGTGGGCCTGTACCACGAAGTGAGCAACAAGACCAGAGGCATCACACAGCTGGGCCCCTACAGCCTGGACAAGGACAGCCTCTATGTCAACGGTGACCTATGCCCCTTTCTCTGTCTCCTCTGCTGTCCCATGGCAGCTATCCCCGAGTCCTTCCCCTGCCCCACCGCAGGCTCCAGCTCATGGTCCTCTCTCTCTTTCTCTCTCTCTCCAGGTTACAATGAACAGCCAGTCCTGCCCAGTGAGTATCTTGCAGCAGTGGGATGGGCTCAGAAGGCAGCAAGAGCATTGTGGGGTTTTTCTCCTGCACAGAAAAGGCGAAGGGATGGACCTTGAGATCATAGACACAAGAGGGAGCATGTCAGCCTTCCCCATATGTAGAGTGGGCCTAGTGGGAGACCTCTCTGGTTTTCCAACCTTACTGCTGAAACACTGGTTCTTGACCTTTGTCACTCTCCATCTGTTATTATTCCAGTTCCCACCCATCCACCAACGATAGCTGCTGCCCTTGAACGATTCACCATCAACTTCACCATCACCAATTTGCCCTACAACTCTGACATGGAGAATCCTCAAGCCGCAAAGTTCAACACTACACGAAGGGTTATGAACACCTTGGTATGTGGATCCTGGCAAAACCATGGCCTTGCTACTGCTCTCATAAATTTGGAGGGAGTGTGGAGAGCTGGCCAGAGTGTAACTGTGAAATTTTCCCCTTGGCAGCTCAACCGCCTGCTGAAGGAAAGCAGCATTGGCCCTGATTTCCTTGGATGTGAGACAACTGCCTTGAGGTATGGGTCTCTCTCAAGAGTCTCTGCAGGTCCTTCAGTCTGAGGAGGGGATCAGTCACACTCATATTCAGTTGGCACCTCTCCTATGGAGGCAGCACACCCACCCTGATCCCCTTCTGTGCTAGGACCTTCCCTCTCTTCCTCACCCCTTGTCTCTACATGCTGATGTAATCCCAAGATGATTCACAGGTCTTGCAAAGATGGTCCACAGTAGTCCCAAGATGCATGGAGAACACATGGAATAGGTTGCCTCAGGCATCTTGCTGTGTTTTCCAGGCCAACGAGTCACGGGGACGAGACACAGGTCAACGCAGTCTGCACCTACAGGAAGGACCCCTCAGCTCCACCTTTGGACAGGGTGGGCCTGTACCACGAAGTGAGCAACAAGACCAGAGGCATCACACAGCTGGGCCCCTACAGCCTGGACAAGGACAGCCTCTATGTCAATGGTGACCTATGCTCATTTCTTTGCCTCCTCTGCTATTCTGCAGCAGCCATTCCCCTTTCCTGTCCCTTCCACAGCTTCAGCGCCAGCTCATGACCCTCTCTCTGTCTCTTTGCCCAGGTTACAACGAGCAGCCAGTTCTGCCCAGTGAGTACCTTGCAGGAGTGGGATGGGCCCAGAAGGCATCATATAACTCATGGGCCTATTCTTTGGGGTAGAGGAGGCTGAGGGAAAGGTCTTGATAACTTGGGGAGGATGAGGAG